TCATACATTTTAAAAAAAATCAACCCTAGTGTGGGTCTCTGCAGATAGGAGCAACCTTGCTTCTCAAAAGCTAGAGGTCACTTGGGACAAGGGGGGGGGTAGGAAATAGGTCCTTTGATTTATTCAGAAACATGTAGGAAACTCTCTAAGCTGTGCACAGAATACAGAAAACCAGCAAAACTGTTAGAAAACAAGTGTACATAAAAACACAGATAAAATCAGCAAAACTTTCCCAAAACAAGTAACTAAATTTTGCATCTGGTTAAGGTTGCGTTGCTGAAATAAAGTCTTGAGCATGTGTCTCAAACAATATCAGAAGGACACCTGCCTAAGCCCTTCATCCCAGATTGCTACTCTTTGCTTTCTTCTATAAATCAATATTTGCCATTCTTATGGAGGATAGTGATCCACTACACTTGGAAATGATAGCTGTGGTTAGGGCAAAATCCGCCCATCGCCCCTGACACTGGGAGACCCAGCCAGTCTTAATTGACAGGCATGTGTGCAATGTATGGGTACACATCGCGGTCCCTGAGAGTCCTTGCAATGCAATTCCTGCTCATGAAACCCCCCTCCATAATGACAAACGTTCGTAATAAATCAGTAGTCCACATCTAACCATATAACTCTGCAAATCACCTACTTCGCTGCCCTACTTGGTGAACTGTTCCCTCTCCTTTAAAAATAATAATAATTCTCTAACATATTCATTTAGCTTCATCTAATAATAATAATAATAAATTTTATTTATACCCCACCCTCCCTGACCAGAGCCGGGCTCAGGGCAGCTAACACCAATAAAATCACAGTAAAAAACATAATAAGGGAAGGGGAAAAAATTAAAATACAGGTTAAAATGCCATTTAAAATGCAGCCTCATTTTAAAAGTAGCCGATAAATCAAGACCATAAGGGGAGGGAAACTTAAGGGTCAGACTGAGTCCAAACCAAAGGCCAGGCGGAACAGCTCTGTCTTGCAGGCCCTGCGGAAAGATGTCAAATCCCGCAGGGCCCTAATCTCTTGTGACAGAGCGTTCCACCAAGTCGGGGCCAGTACGGAAAAGGCCCTGGCCCTAGTTGAGACCAATTTAACCATCTTGTGACCTGGGGCCTCCAAAATATTGCTCTGGAAGGGCATTGAAGCTGCATGGTCAAGAAGAAAGGAGAAACTATATTTCAGAAGTCATGGGAGCATGTAAAGAACACGTTCCAGGTACATCTGCAGCAGTTCTAACTACCCTGTTGTTCATTCTCCACTAAAGGATGGCTACTGCACATTAGACATGGCATCAGAAAGGCATGCTACACCCATGAGCATAATTCTAGTTTTAGCTACATTGAGTTTTTGCAAGTCTGACCCCAAAAACGATGAAGCAGAAGACGTTAAGAAAGAATAGGGCAGACCAGCGTTTTAAGGATAGCAAAACAAAACTGTACTTTCAGCACACTGAAAGTAACGGATTCTCCAAGATGACTCATATAGAATGGGTAGGGTCAACAACTTATCTATCAAGACCCAGTGAAAACTCTCTGACAGGAGCACAGCACCATTGAACACATTTGCCAGTTTTCATGTGATCCATCCCTATCAAAGCACCTGATATTAGCAGAGCACCCATTACTTGAAGGATGACAACCAACCACATCCAAGCAAAGCAACACAAAATGTCCTTTCACTTTCTCAAGAGTGTGTATGGACCTTGCAACTAGCTCTTAACGAGGCCAAATATTTGCTTATTCTCTGCTGAAAGCATGCACGTGTCAGTCTGCAGAGAAGAGCTGATGGATGGACTCTTCACCTAGTCTTCTGCCTGCTACTTTCTCCCTGCGACATCTTTCAGCTGCTTTTCTCCACTCAACAGGGTGAACACACACATGGCAACAGAATTGGGGGGGTTCCTACGAGGGAGAAGAGTTAAACACTGTGTCCAGAGGAGGGCAACCAAAATGGTCAAAGGCCTGGAAAGGATGCCTTATGAGGAACGGCTAAGGGAGCTCGGCATGTTTAGCCTGGAGAAGAGGAGGTTAAGGGGTGATATGATAGCCATGTTCAAATATGTAAAAGGATGTCACATAGAGGAGGGAGAAAGGTTGTTTTCTGCTGCTCCAGAGAAGCAGACACGGAGCAATGGATCCAAACTACAAGAAAGAAGATTCCACCTAAACATTAGGAAGAACTTCCTGACAGTAAGAGCTGTTGGACAGTGGAATTTGCTGCCAAGGAGTGTGGTGGAGTCTCCGTCTTTGGAGGTCTTTAAACAGAGGCTTGACAACCATATGTCAGGAGTGCTCTGATGGTGTTTCCTGCTTGGCAGGGGGTTGGACTCGATGGCCCTTGTGGTCTCTTCCAACTCTATGATTCTATGACTTGCTGTTTTTCTTCTACAGATCCCTTCTTTGCATATGTGGCTTTGACTGCAGCTTGGGTCTCAAAGAGAAAACACAAATTCTCTCCCCAACCGGGGGAAAAGATGTATGTATGTATGTATGTATGTGTACAAATGAGAGAGCTATATAGATTTAGATAGATAAGATAGATTTATGTGTGTGTGGATGAGAGAGACTCTAGAACTTCTAAACATGCTTCAATAATACCTCCTTGTGGCCAGCTATGACAGACTAACATGGATGGTGAACCAACAAAATTTCACTGTCTCAATTCTCACGTCTCTACTCTAATGTGGGCTGGAAGTTTATACATACAGCTGTTCCTCTTTGACCTGGATTTAAACTGGACTTTCATTGGACCTTAACCTGACAGTCAATACTGCAGTCAGCGCATTGTCATTTAAAGCATCAAAAGGCAAGAAACATGTCAACAGTTACAGGCATCTGAAGTCACCTGAAGTTATGCTGCTGCTTGCAACACTCCAAGCTACTGAAGTACGAAAGCACCCAACACCAAAACTGACACTTGGCTTCAGTGTATGTCAGTAAGCACCTGCAATTGTCTGCATGCTGTCCGCATGTGTGGCCAGGTTCTGTTGCAATCTCTGCAGCTGTTGAAGTCGCAAGGTTGGATTCCTAAGGACCATGCAAGTCCTTGCACCCCAGTGGCCACAAATGGATTAAACAGGCTTAAGTAGAAGAGCAATTCTACAAGGTCAAAGCACGATGCCAGCCAGACTGAAATAATTCACCTATGTCAGGCATAGGCAGACTTGGCCCTCCAGATGTTTTGGGACTACAACTCCCATGATCCCTAGCTAACAGGACCAGTGGTCAGGGATGATGGGAACTGTAGTCCCAAAAACATCTGGAGGGCTGAGTTTGCCTATGCCTGACCTATGTGGTGTTCTACACAGCAGGCTTCACTTTTAAAACTGAGCCACCGCTTGTGTAACATTAGGTGCTGGTCTGGCTTTCTAGCACGATATGTATAGCAGCCTAGGGTCCAGATTCAGCACCAACACTGCAGCGCTTTTGGGTCTTTCTGATCTGCTGGGAAGTCAAGCACATATGATGACATCAGTTTCAATGAATACAGAGTAAAGGTTAAGGGGCACAGATTCACAGGGTACAACATCTGGCTAAGGCCCACACTTCATACTTTGTGCCAGGGACACTGCTGCCACCACAGGAAAGGGCCAAAGATCAGTGGCAGAGTGGCAGAGCACACCTGATCTGCATGTGAAAGGATCTGGGCTCAACCTCTGACATCCCCAGGAAGGACTGAGAAAGCCTCATCTCTGAAACCCGGAAGAACTGCTTCCAGTCAATGGAGACCAGGAGTGGGGAACCTGTGTTGCTCCAGAGGTTGTTGGAAGTCCAACTCCCATTATCCTTGACCACTGGCCATGTTGGCAATGGTTGATGGGACCTGGAGTCCAACCGCATCTGGAGGTCGACAAGCAAGTCATCCATTGTGTAGACCAGGGGTTGTCAGCCTGGTCCCTACCGCCCACTAGTGGGTGTTTCAGGATTCTAGGTGGGCGGTAGGGGGTTCTACGGCATACTCTGAATCCTCCTTCCATCGAGCACTGGGGGGCGGTAAGGCAATTTTACCATCAAGAAAGATGCATTAGTGGGCAGTAGGTATAAAAAGGTTGACTACCCCTGGTGTAGACAGACTGATGGAGCAAGGGTCTGGCAGACAGCTTCCTTTCTTCCAAGAAGGCAAACTGTGGGTTCTATTCTGGATAGGGATTCATTCATGCGAAGCAGCTCCTGTGTGGTTTATACCGGTTCCAACCATCCCAACAAAGTCATCCCAAAACAAAGGCTTTTGCTGGCATGGTGGAAACCAGCCCAATCCCTGCTGGACATGCTTCACACAACTGCCTTCCCATGCGGACAGAAATACATAGTATTTGCTTTCTCAATGGCAATCATGTACGATGTGCGAAGCAGCCCTCTGGTGGGCAGATGAAGTGCAAATGGAAGAATTATAAGTGTTGTGAACCTGGTGATAAAAACACTGAATGTGATCTGACTGGCAAGCAAGGCGTCCTTCTCTAATCTACTTGTGTTCAGTGTCCACAGATGCAGAGTTTGGCCCCCTATTGGGACGGCAGCAATTTTGACACGTCAGGCCTGCAGAAGTTGCTACCCTCCAAGATGAATGTAGAATATTATATAAGAATTGGATATTTACCATGCCCCGGAGGGCTGCTTTTGACTAGGTGAATCCTAAGCTGTTCATCTAAGGCAGGGCTAGCCAAAATGGTGGCTCCCAAACATTCTTGGATGCTCTCACCACACCTGATCAGTGGCCAGGCTGGCTGGGGAATTGTAGTCCAACAATATCGGGAGGATATAATGTTGGATCCCGTAGAGATTTTTGGGTACCAGTGGCCCCCACACCCGCTTTCTAGGGAAGAGGGAAACAATGGAGCAAAATACGGAAGCGCTGACTTTGCACCTTCCCTCCAGAAATCCTGGGTTTTATTTTGCAGTGGCCAGCCACGTGACAGAGGGAAATCAAACAGAAGCAGACTGCTTCCCAGAAATTTCAAGTACACAATATCAACATTATATAATGCACAATAAAATACTTCATACCTGGAGTTGAAAAAACGAAAAGTGTTAACAGCTGACCTGGCACAGCCCCACATGCTCTCTCTGGAAATTGAACACAGACAATTAGCAATTTTAAGATACCCCAAAGAACGTCAGAGGGGGGTAGACAACAGGGAGGGGAACGTACAGGGGGGGAAAACCACAGCCCCAACAACAAGCACAGACAGCCTACACCTAAGATTTGGTATTCTTCCACCTGGAATTCACCCGGAGCAGCACTGAAACAGTGATGGATTTAATCTTACAGGGACAGAGTCCATCACTAGGTAATTTAAAGTGTTTTTAAAAAACGATAGCTATGACTTCTTTTTCAATGGAAACATCTGACATTTATTGCAACTACATTTGCTGTTAGGATTTAGGGCTGTCGTCAGCTAAGTCCTACTTAGAGTAGACCCACTCCATTTATCTGCTAGGAGCAGGAGTACACTTCGAACCAGATAACCAAAATTAGGAATATAAGGGCACAATTCCTGCAAGGTCAGTATAAGTCCCACCTTTTTCTCTTAGTGCTCCACTGTGCTCCAGCTATTGCAGAGTATGGAAGGCTGTCTTGCTTCCAGTTCCATTCCAGCCCAAAGCTCCTGTGAGGAATTTACTTGAGCTTGAAGCTCAAGGTAAATTATGAGCTGGGACCTGGGATGGGTGAAAAACAGGAAGCATGCCAGATTCCCATTCTGGGTAGTGGCCAGGATCCTACTCTGCATGCTTGCCAAGGAGGTATTATGGGGAGGCCCTGTGACCTAGTTTAAAAAATTTATTTCTCAGGTTGGCAGAGTTTATGCAGAAATTCACAAATTCAGAATTTCAGCAGCTCTGAGGGAAAAGGCAGAAATAATGAAGCATAATGACAGGCACTTTATGAATAATAATAAAATGATATCGGCACTGAAGTGAAATACCGGACCACGTTTGCTTTTTGACACACCGATGAAAATGTAAAGCATTTTAGTTGAGAATTTAAACATAGCGATTTCACAGAAAACAGTAGTCTAAGGCGTACAAGTTTCAACAATAAGTATTTCAGAACCAGACTCCTGCGTTAACTAAGTAATCTTCTTCCGTCTTAATTTGCAATGTATGAAACATCCCTTCCAATTCTATGATTCTAAGGTACCTCTGATTCTGAAAGAATTCTGATCATCTGCACTATTGGCAAGGAAATGGGATTCATTCAATGGCAAAAACAAACAGTTATACCATTTAAAACAGTAGCAGCAGCAGCAGCAACAACAACAACTTGCAACTGGTCTGCAAAACCTCATGCCTATCTGCTTGGAATATTCCATGATATTTTTCTGAAGGAGGCATGCATTAAGCCACTGGAAACTACATGGGAGATATGGAAGATATTATAGAAATAGGGTAGCATGGGGGTAGGCTTGCCATACGTCAGGAAAATGTCCTGGTTTTCGGATGTAAACATGGCATCAGGGAAAACCTGAATATATGGCAATGCGATGAAAAAAGCAGCGGAAACAGCGGAATTTTACATTTTGAAATATGGCAACCCTACATGGAGGCTATTACGCTGCATGAATTCTAATGTACTGAACAATGAAAAACACAAAAGGTGCTATGGATTAAGAACTGCAACCTGATGAAAATTTGGGCGATATACTTCTAAACTAGTGCTTTCCAAATTTCTGAGAGCTTAGGTGCACACATTTTTATCTAAAATTGGAGGCACCCGCGTATATCTCCCCCCAAGTTTAGTTTTAGAAGGTAAAAGAGTAAGTAGGCGCACCTTCTGATTTGAAGATGGGAAGGTCACATTAGAGACATGTGAGGCCTGGTTTGGACGGATGTCTAAACTTGTACAGTGATGCTCGGGTTGCGAATGTGATCCATGCAGGAATCACGTTCGCAACCCGCAGCGTGTGTCTGTGCACGCGCAGGTTGTGAGTTGGTGCGTCTGCGCATGCGCAAAGCGCGATTTAGAGCTTCTGTGCATGTGCAAGTGCCAAAACCTGGAAGTAACCCGTTCCCGTATTTCCGGGTTCGGCGCGGTGCGCAACCTGAAATCACACAACCCGAAGCATCTGTAAGCCGAAGTATGACTGTACGCTCCCTGCACCACCCAAAATCCTCTCCAACAGCCGTTACAAACTGGAAGCTTTCACTATCTCCTCTGAAATAACTACAGTTTTGTGTGACTGCTGAACACGAAACTGTGGTAATTCTAAACGGCAGTAGGTGAAAACAGAAGTGAACATTTCTGATTTCATCCTCACGGCTGTTCTGAAGGAAGGGAGGCTGGAGCAACAGTAAATTGTGGAATAGCATAATGTCCGAATGCAACCACTCATAAAAACAACGGCAGGCTTCTCTGATAGCGGGTGATATGTGGCTGCATGAGGGCATGATCCACTCATATCTAATGCACCAATGCTCCAGAATTAACTAAGCCCAAAGGAAGCTGGCAGGAAGCTGGGACACCCAGAGGTATGAATCATATACAGTTGTAACTGGTAGTTTTACCATGAAGATTGGTGTTCTGGACAAAGAAGACCTTCTATTACAGTGGTGCCTCGCAAGACGAAAAGAATCCGTTCCGCGATTCTCTTCGTCTAGCGGTTTTTCGTCTTGCGAAGCAACCCTATTAGCGGCTTAGCGGATTAGCGCTATTAGCGGTTTAGCGGCTATTAAAGGCTTAGCGGCTTAGCTGCTAAAAGGCTATTAACGGCTTAGCGGCTTAGAAAAAGGGGGGGTGCGGGGAAAAAATCGCAAGACTTGCAAGACGTTTTCGTCTTGTGAAGCAAGGCCATAGGGAAAATCGTCTTGCGAAGCAACTCAAAAACGGAAAACCCTTTCATCTAGCGGGTTTTCCGTCTTGCGAGGCATTCGTCTTGCGGGGCACCACTGTATTTAATGCTTTTCTTGTGGTAAACACTTCCGGTATTATTAAATGGCTATGGTCTAGCTAATGTGAGATATATACAGAATGTGGGATGCAAAATAACTTCCCCCATTATTTTCACGGGACAGGGGCAATGACTAGGGATGGGCATTCATTCAAAACAAATGAAAAATCAAACTCAACAGGAAGCCTTCACTTCAAATGTCATTTGTTACGGAATGAACGCAATCACTTACTAAGGGGATACAAATGGGATTTGTTTTCATTGCACTATTAAACACAATTGAATACCCAGGCACAATACGACTGGGGAAATAAAATGGCAGGAGGAGGAGGAGGCCACTGAAATCAGCTCTGTCGCCACAAATGGCAATGGCAGCAGCAAAAGAAAAGAGTGCCTTCCCCGTAAAAGCAAGGGGGAAAGGGCTACGTAATTAATGTAAGCAACAGAAATGGGAAAGAACCACTCAATTTGATGTGATTAAGATCACCCCACCTTCCACCCAAGGTGCTTAAGGTGCCCATGTCAGACACAGTCATTATTATTATTTTAATCCTTACAAGGTAGTAGTAGTAGTAATAATAATGATAATAATTATTATTATTGTTATTATTTATACTCTGCCGTCCCTGGCCAGAGCCGGGCTCAGGGTGGCTAACACCAGTAAAATCACAATAAAAACATAATAGGGGGGAAAAACCCAATTTAAAATACAGGTTAAAATACAATCTAAAATGCAGCCTCATCTTAAAATAGCCCATAGATCAAAACCATAAAGGGAGCGAAATATAAAGGTCAGACTGAGTCCAAACCAAAGGCCAGGCGGAACAGCTCTGTCTTGCAGGCCCTGCAGAAAGATGTCAAGTCCCGCAGGGCCCTAGTCTCTTGTGAAAGAGAGTTCCACCAAGTCGGGGCCAGTACTGAAAAGGCCCTGGCCCTAGTTGAGACCAATCTAACCTCCTTGAGGCTTGGGACCTCCAAAGCGTTATCATTTGTGGACCTTAAGGTCCTCCGTGGGGCATACACGGAGAGGTGGTCCTGTAGGTATGTGGGTCCTAGGCCTCATAGAGCTTTAAAGGTCAAAACCAGCACCTTAAACCTGACCCTGTACTCCACCCTGTACTCACGTAGGTTAGGCTGAGAGGCAGTGACTGGCCCAAGGTCACCCAAGTGACCATCATGGCTGACTGGAGATTTGAACCTAGTCTCCAATGGTCCCCCATCTAATGCTCTAACCACTACAACACCCTGGCTCTAAAATGAATGGGGTTCTAACAAGTGAACAATGAAATGGACGGGGTCCTCAAAAGTTTTAAACATAACTTATATAAAGTTATTTACAGGCCAACCTTTGGGCACAGCCCACCCAAGACCGCTTACATCTCATATAAATCACATTAACATTCAAAAAAATAACATTTCAGAAGCAGCATTACAAGCAAGTGTTTAAAAACATGGGCTGGTTAAAATAAATAAAGGAGCAAAATAGAAATTCGATCCAGTCAATAATAGGCTATTAAAGTAACAGCTTTCAAACAAGTGGGCTTTCAAACCCTGCTTACAATCTGGAGAGTTCATAATCTTGTGGGAAACATAGAAAGGACCCTGTCTCTTGTGCCTGTCAACTGAACTGACCTTACTGGCAAGCTTATAAGCAGTTCCTCTGAGGCAGATTTTAAGGCTGGGCAGGTTCATATGGGTACAGACGGTTCTTCAAATAACTCAATCCCAAATAAATAAGAGCTTTAAAGATCGAAACCAGCACTCTTAACTGAGCCCAGAAACACGACTGAGCCCAGTACACAATTGCTCAGTTGATTGATTGATTATTGCTCACTCTTAGTGGTTGTTGGGTGATGAATAGCTCTCTTCTCTTTTTTAAACTGTCATTGCTGAAATCCAAAAGGGGATTTTTGTTTTAAGTGTCCTGTAGGAAACTCATAGGATGCAGGTCTGATCCTGAACTACAACTCCCATCACCCCCTAGCTAGCAAGGCCAGAGCTCAGGGATGATGGGAGTTGTAGTCCAACAACATCTGGGGACCCACAGGTTGAGAACCGCTGGTAAGCTTTCCTGAACTCTGCTCTGAACTGTTTGGAAGAAGAGTGAGGTATAGATGTTTTAAAAAATCAAAGGGCACAGATACATAAAGCCAAAGTAAGCAAACTACACATGATTTC